AGAAAATTATGTTGAAGCAGTAATGTGTGAAAAAGCTAAGTGAATATTAAATCAGTTTGCAAAAGCTAGAGTAATATGTCTTTGGTATATTAATTCAGTTTTTCAGTAGCAAAGAAATGAGCTTGTAGGCTGTTAAAAGACCTTGTAAATGAGATTTCAGTCTCACTTTTGATAATCTTTGACAAATTTTAGAGAAACAGGAGAACTCAAAAGAACAAAAACAGAAAAATTCTAATTTTCCTAAGGAGTCAGTGTGATATCTAAAATCTATGAGCTTTTGAAAATTATTCTAGTAATACAGTGCTTGAACTCGAAGAAAGATGAAAACTGGGAATCCTCAAAGTTTCCCTGGAAAAAGGGCATTACCGTAGGTACCATCCCAGAGGAGATTCCAAATTGCCTTTCTTCTGCTCCTCTGCTGCCAACCTCCACCTGGGTTCCATTAATGGGAGACACTGGCACAAGGTTTAGGGATGAAGAAAAGAGACACCAGGATGTACAACAAAAGGGGTGAGGAGGAATCAAGGTGAAGGTAAGTCGACAACTCTACCTAGTCCCAGCTCCTTCCAGTATACCTACCGTGCTTCTGGCTACCACCAAGGACCTAATCCTTGGGCTTCAGTCTCTTTCCCTCACTTATCCATGTATGGCCTACTGCTAATGTTAATTCCTGGACTGCCCTATCATCTCAGTTCTGCATCTCAATTGTCCAAGACCTGTGTTACGCATCTTTTCTTTATGTTAAGTTCTAGGTATGCTTAAAATTGTTTCTTTCTGCTTAGACACCAACTGAAGTATAGTACATCCTACTTTCTTTCCTTTGTCATTATGAGCTGTTAGAAAGTTTGAGAGTGTTGTCAAATGTGATGATAAAATTTCAGCAAGACTTTTGATGGATGATCTTTTATGTCTTTGAGGAAATTTAGACTAGTAATAAAACATTCTTAGAAGTTTAGAGTCTGGAAGTGCCAGAAGGCTCTGTCCTTGATCCATATCCCACTCAACATTGTTACCAAAGATTTCGAGCAAGACATTTAAAAAAGAAAACCTTTATCAAATATATTACTAACACAAAGATAGAAGATAATTTAATTCAAAATTTGAAGAGATAAACTTTACCCAGAAAAATAGTCTTTTTTTTACATGCAAAAATAAATTAGTTAAAAAATATAGGATAGAATGGGTTGGCACTATGGCATCATGGGTAAAATCATTGCCTGCAGTGTCAGTATCCCATATGGGGACTCCTATTGGAGTCCTGACTGCTCTACTTCTGATACAGCTCCCTGCTTATGCACCTAGGAAAGTTAGTAGAAGAGGCCTAGTGCCCTAACACCCATTTGGGAGACTTGGAAGAAGTGCTTGTCACCTAGTTTGCAACTGATCCGGCCCTGTTGCAGTCAGTTTGACCATTTGGGGAGTGAAAGATTCTCTTTCTCTTAGTATCTCTCAGTCTCTCTCTCTGACTCTGCCTTTCAAATAGCAAAGAAGTCTTTAAAATACATGTAGAAAAGGAAGCGTCCAAACTCCCAGCATTTTATGTGGGTAAAGAAATTCAGGATCTTAGTTGGCCACAAACCCAATGAAATAAAGAACTCGTCTTTGGACCATATTAAAAGATACTTAGCATCTTTATCAACTGACAGAAGTCCCACTTTTCATCTGATAATGCTACAAGAAGGCTAGAAACATATGTAAATTGAAGTACCCATTTTCCTCAGCTAACATACAGTTTTGTGTCATATGCAAGTTGTATATGTACACATTTGTTCACTTTTGCCTCACATGAACCCAGTGAAGGTTGTGCCATTGCCCATTTCTGAGCTGATTTTGTCTTTTGGTTCAAGACTAAGTTATCTAGTTAACTATGTGGCTTTAGACAAGCAATGATGTTTGGTTACCAGCAATATCCCTTTGACTAAAACTTTGATCACTTCAAAACACCAAGACCATCTAATTATCCAGATGGGACCCAAATTTTGAAAGATCAGAAGCCTTTATATGTGGTGAACTGTTGAGGAACCTGGGATGTTATATCAGAAGACTCTTAAGAGAATAAAGTGTCTCTTCACAGATTTGAGAGTAAATTAATTTAAGTAGCTCTCAGGAACAGAACTAAGAATGACAGTGTCTTCAGTTTTTGTTCAATATTTTAAAAATTCAATTACCGCTGTATCTGTATAAAAGTTAGTTAAGTTTCATGGATTCCTGCCTAGAGAAGGTTAAGTTGAACTTCTAAAATGACATCCAACTCTCTGAAAGTCTCATTTGGGTTTTGCCTTATGAGTAAATCTTGGATTTGTAGTTTTTAATTCAGAGTTATGTATTTTCTTTTACAGTTTTATTTTCAGCATTGTAATTGTTTCTCTTACAATTTAGGATTAATATACAATGTTTGTGGAAAAAAAATTAAGAGCCTGAAACAAAGAAGTAAAGCATGACTGGTGTTTGCTGTAATTACCTACACAGGAAATAAAATGCTATTCCCCAGAATATGTCCCCAGAGTGAACGTCTGCAGTTGTTCCATTTCATTCCTAGCTGTAGAATCCTATCAGGAGTAATGAGAATCACTTTGAAAAATATTGAAGCAGAGAATAGAGTTTGCAAAGTATTATTAGGTTTGCTAAGATGAACCTGTACAAATGCAAACTATTGCCATGGCACTATAAAACCAGAGCTTATATGGTAAAAGGTCCATGAAATGACCTATTAAAGGCCAGTACAGTGCTAGTGGGTCTAAAAAGTATATAATTTACCCTGAGGATGCCTTTGTGGCCCTCTTTCCAGGACTAATGTAGTCTCTCTCCAACATGAAATAGTGTGTACATGAAGGGATAGGACAATTTGAGGAAGGAAAATAAACTTATTTCAAAATTTACGCAAAAACAGCACATTCTCCCAGAAGAGTAAAAACAATGAAGATTAAAGGTAGCATTTGCTTTAGCCTGTTTCTGACTAGGTTAAATAAAGTCAAGTTCTCAGTCTTTGCAGTCATTTGCTCAGTTCTAAAAGTTAACTTGCATGAATTCCTGAAGAAGGCAACTGTTGTGAATTCTTAATAGTTCAGATCTTCCCTGTAAATGATCTGAAGGGCTGGACACTCCTGTCATGTTCATTTTTAAAATTCACACTGTCTGCTTCCCCAGCCCTCCTCCAATTTCTTCTCAGACTTACTAATCATAACATAATCTCACAGAAGGATTCATGATGCATTGAAATTGTGAGGAAAAAAATGAGGCAAAGAGCATCTGATACTTAATTCAGCATGTTATCTATTTTAAACATGGATTTCACAGATGTTGGTGATCTCTGACAACTTGCCATTTGATAAGGTGATGATTTTTAAAAGTGGATCAAGCTCATGTGATTGATTTTTTATTGACTAAGCAAAACCCCGTCATCTTTCTTCTGTAAGTTGCTAATGCAAAGCAGATCGAGCAAGTTAGGAGTAAGATGGCTTATGCTGCCCTTGACTAAATCTGCATTACCAGGCTCTTGGTAAAGTCTCCAAAGATAGAGACCTGATCTTACTGATTTTTGTACCTTTAGTGTCAATAATTTGGTTAGGTGTTTGTGAATCTTAACATTAAGTATCTGTGATTGAAAACCCAGAAAATGAAAATAAGTTTTAAAGTGAGTTTCAGTTTTCTTTGTAGAAAATGACTGAAGTTCGAAGGTACCTAGGTACTTAAAAAGGGAGGATCTGTTTTTCCCTTGAATCCTACAGGTAAATTTGGAGAGTCTCAGTGAAGAATAAAAATCTAAGCGAGGCCACATATGATTTTATATTCAGAACTTTTTAGAAAAAGATATGATAGCTATACCTTATTCCATATGATTTCTCCATTAAAGATTCAAACGGATAAATATTCCAGAAACAGAATGTCATTAAATGAAATAAATTGTTAACCTCTGTTCAGTTCAAAATTTGTACCCAAATAAGTACAGAGTAGATTAAATTTGCCACAAAAACTGAGCAGGATTGAAACAAAATAAGCAAAAAGAGAAAAACAGATGCTTTTTGTACTGTGGTTAAGGCACCCGATTCGTAACAGAGTACATGAGTTCCTTCCCAACTCCACTTTCAGTTCCGAGTTTCTGGCATGTTTCAATTCCAAGTGCATGCTGGGTGGCAGCAGGTGATGGCTCAGATGATTGAGTCCCTGCCTTGTAGATCAGTAACCCAGCCTGAATTTTGGGCTTCTGGCTTTGGCCTGACCCAGTCCTGATTTAAAGGAATGTTCCAAGAGAAGATGGAAGATATTTACCTTTCTCTTTCTGCTTTTCAAATATATATATATATATATTTTAGAAAAATCTTTGGTTTTGAACTTTCATGTGTTTAGATTTGTCTGTCAGCCTTTGTGGACGAATAATGATTTGTCCATTAACTAAAACTTTTATTGCTGTTTAATGAATCATGTCATTTGTAATTTCAAGTGATTACATATAAATTATTGCTATTATCTTTATTTCCCCTGAAGAAAAAGTAAAGGCAAATATCCAAACAGAATTTTGGGAAGATTAAGTTTGTGCTACTGTGAAAATGAACTTACTGCTACCGTGAAAGCAGAATCTTACATAGAACCCACAGGGTCTTCCTGAGAAATAGGACCATTTCCATTTCATAAGGGTGTCAGAGAAGTGAGGACTTGAAGTGACCTCTAGGTTACAAGTTACTAAGTACCAAAACTAAGAGTCAAACTTGGATCCTTCAAGTCTGAGTTACATTCTGCTTTCTTGCTACGTCTTGTTTTTATAGGAAAAGCTTCTGACAAAGCTGAAAAATGAGAGTTTAGATGTATGTCTAATAGTTAATGCTTATCACTGTAATGCATAGCACAACCTTAGATTAATTTGAACCGCTTAAGTTGACAAAAGTGGGCTGATAATTGTAAAATTTAAGTCTGTTTTAATCTTTTTAAAGGAATTATTGGAAAAGTTGACTGTGGGGCAATGAGGATTTTTGAGTTCTTTTGTTTTTGTTTTAATTGTTTAGATGTGTCTGGCATCAGAAGGAGTAAAAATGGAAGAATCGAAGCTAATGAAAGCAAAGGAATTGGATGGTGGAAGACTTAAAGAACTGGAGAAGGGAAAGGAAGAAAGAGAAATGAAAATGGAAAGAACAGATGAAGCCAGGTTACAGAAGGAAGCCGACTTTGAAAAATCAACTAAGGAAAATTTAAGAGAGTCTAAAGAGTTAAGAAATTTTGAGGAGCTACAAATGGGTGATGTAATGGCTATAAAAATGGAAGACCCCAAAGAAATCAGAAAGGAAGAATTAGAGGAAGATCAGAAATGTAGTCACTTCCCTGATTTTTCTTATTCTGCCAGTAGCAAGATAATAATCAGTGATGTTCCCGGTAGAAAGGATCACATGTGCCGTCCCCATGGTATCATGATCATCGAGGATCCCATAGCATTAAACAAACCAGAGAAACTAAAAAAGAAAAAGAAGAAAAGCAAAATGGATCGACATGGGAGTGATAAATCCACACCCAAGAAGCCCTGCAAGAAGAGACAGTCTTCAGAGTCCGACATTGAGAGTGTCATATACACGATTGAAGCAGTTGCAAAAGGAGACTGGGGCATTGAGAAGCTCGGAGAGGCCCCTCGCAAAAAGGTCCGCCCATCCTCAAGTGGCAAGGGAAGCATTTTGGATGCTAAGCCACCAAAGAAAAAAGTGAAATCAAGAGAGAAGAAAATGTCCAAGGAGAAATCCTTAGATACCACCAAAGAGTCAAGACCTCCAGATTTCATTAGTCTTACTACCAGCAAGAACATTTCTGGTGAGCTTCCAGAGAGCATAAAAGCAGAACCACTGACCCCCACGGAGGACGTGCTACCACCCAGCCTGTCAGGACAGGCCAAGACAGAGGGCAGTGATTGTCACAGAAAAATAGAGACTTGTGGCTTCAGGAAATCTGAGAGGTCTTGCAAAGGTGCTCTTTATAAAACCCTGGTGTCAGAGGGCATGCTCACCTCTCTGCGAGCTAATGTTGACAGAGGTAAGTGACTTAAACAGCCTATAGAGCACAAAAACCAACTTACCTTAGATCTAGTGAAAAGAACTGCTGTAAAGAACAGTATGGTGTCAAAATAATATATTTGATTCTTTATGGTTACACATTATTGTTTTCTCTGTAAATTTTCTGGCACCATTTAAAGAAAGGTGATGTATTTTGCAGATATTTTCAAGTTATAAATGTGTGACATTATTCAAAATTTTTTTAAAACTGCTAAGAACCATTTTTTTTGAAGCATTAGCATTAGCATTGTGTTTAGAGCTTTTTAAAAAAACAACAACAACATTGATTGATTTATTTAAAAGAAACAGAGAAGAGGGAAGAGGGAAGAGAAGGAGAGGAAGAGAAAAAGAGAGAGAATTCTCCATCTGCTTTTTCACTCCCCAAATGGCCATGACAGCCCTTGCTAGGTCAGACTGAAGCAAGGAGCCAGGAATTTCCCAGAGCATGTACATTCCTAAGAGCCCAAGCACTTGTGCCAGACATATTTGTAAAGGCTCGAACCAAGCACTCAAGTAGAAAATGCTGGTGTCCTGAGCTGTGGCTTTAGCTGCTGGATCATGGTGCCTGCTGCTGGATTTGGTTTTTAAAATTAAAAATTCGTGTCTGAAGCAAATATATGAATATTTCACAGAATCTTCTCCTGGAGATGCCAAGTACATATGCCCTTCCTCCATTAGTTGAACAAAACTAGTTGAAGTGAAGGACCCTTCAAAACATGACAGAATCCAGGACTTAGTTACTGTGTATACCTTTATTCCATAGAGTATTTCAAATATATTCATCTATTTTAAAATATAACATCTGCCACGCTGTGTTCCAACAACAGATATGTGAGTCATAGATCTAACAAGCTTTGACTAAAGATACCTAGCGTTACTTAGTTCTCTAGGGCTAGCATTCCAGTGAATCTTACAGAAATTAGAATTAGCAAGAGTTCATCAACAGAAGGCTCCCATACTTTATGTAACACTAACTTGATCTGTTTCTTTGATGATGTGGTACTTGTTGAGTTAGAAAACAGTGCATCTCAGAAGCTGAAAGTCGCTTTTTTGCATATTTAAGTATTAAAAGTAGTCCAACAGAAATTACCCTTAATAGTTACAGATAACATCCTGTGATACCTAAAGTGCAAGAGGTTATTTATGAAGCAACTGAAATAATCTCCCACTCCAGGATATTCAAAAAATCCTGTCTTTGGGATTTCTTTAGGAAAACGAAGCTCAGGAAAAGGAAACTCATCTGATCATGAAGGGTGTTGGAATGAAGAAAGCTGGACATTTAGCCAGAGTGGAAGCAGTGGCAGCAAGAAGTTCAAGAAGACAAAGCCGAGGGAAGACTCCTTCCTTGGGTAAGTGCCTGGAGGGCCCAACTGCACAGGTCGTCGTGCAGATGTTCAAGGTCGACGTGAGTCACTAACCGCTTGCACATTGACCTGTCAGACCTCCTGCAGCCTCAGGAAGGACATTAGTGAACACAATCGAGCATGCCACTCGACACCTGCTATTACCTTAACCTTATGGGTGACAATACATTCACATTTTGGATACAATAGAAAACATACAGATTTTAGACTTAGATCTGAGATTAAATTTAGGTCTACCACGTAGTAGTGATGTGGCATTGTAAATCCTTCACTATCATTAGGCTCATTTAATTCATATTACAAGTATGTTTAAGTTTGCCCGTTTTCCTCATTTTGCCCATTTTCCTCAGTTTGTGTACTTCACTTAATATTTCTAAATGTGTGTACGTATGTTTGTAAAGTAACAACAGCTGTGAAGTGTAAGGCAAATAAGGGTAAACTTTGATATCTAACCTTGTTTTATTTAAACTGTGTTCTGTTGCTGTAAGGTAAAAATATTAGATTGACTATTCCCCTGGTATAGAGATCATTCAGTGCATTAATTATACATAGAAATACAGTATTAAACAATAGCACACATCAGATAAAATCATTAAGAATTATTTCATAATTAATGTTATGCCAAAGATTCTTAAAAACAAACTTAATATGAAGCATTTTGTTAGCAAGTTCAGAGATCCAATACTTTATACTGGTGAGGAAAATATCTGCTTATTCAGTTGTACTATTTTGAAAATCCTTTGAGATTTCTCATTAGCTCTGTTTGAAAAGAATGTATTGAATAGAAATAAGCACATTTTTATATTCTCCATATTTTTTCATAAGTGTGCTTAAAGGTATGCAAATTTTATGCATTAGATGTATTATATTTGGTTTATTCATTATATTTGCAATTCTGTTTATGGAGTAATATTTTTTCTTGGAAGTATAGTGCTTTCAAGTCTGGTTAATTCTAATTCTCTTGGCTATCACAAAGTGAGAGGGTAAAAATTATTTCCCATGATGCTGCTCTTTAAGATTGCTTATATAAATGATATATTTAGGGCCTGGCACGGTAGCGCAGTGGTTAAGGTCCTCACCTTGCACGCCCGGGATCCCATATGGGCGCCGGTTCTATCCCGGCAGCCCCGCTTCCCATCCAGCTCCCTGCCTGTGGCCCAGGAAAGCAGTCAAGGACGGCCCAAAGCTTTGGGACCCTGCACCCATGTGGGAGACCCGGAAGAGGCTCCTGGCTTCGGATCAGCATAGCATTGGCTGTTGTGCTCACTTGGGGAGTGAATCATTGGATGGAAGATCTTCCTCTCTGTCTCTCCTCTCTGTATATCTGCCTTTCCAATAAAAAAAATAATAAAAATAAGTCTTTAAAAAAATAAATGATATATTTAGGGCCTGGCGCAATAGCATAGTGGTTAAAGTCCTCTTCATGCATGCCCGGGATCCCATATGGCCACCGGTTCTAATCCCGGCGGCCCTGCTTCCCACCCAACTCCCTGCTTGTTGCCTGGGAAAGCAGTTGAGGATGGCCCAAAGCCTTGGGACCCTGCACCCATGTGCGAGATCCGTAAGAGCTCCTCCTTTGGATTGGCTCAGCTCCAGCCGTTGCGGCCACTTGGGGAGTGAACCATCGAATGGTAGATCTTCCTGTCTGTCTCTTCTCCTCTCTGTATTATCTGCCTTTCCAATAAAAATAAATAAATCTTCAGAAAAAATGATATATTTGTAATTTATATATTTCAATTCTAATGCAATAATTTAAAATTTTGAAGTGTTTGATATTAGGTTTGCCTACCTTCTGCTTAAATAATGTCATGAGAACATCCACATTTGTTGTTATCAGATATTTTCACATGCCAGATTTTCTAGAAAAAGTGACCATTGAGCGTCTAGACCATTTGTCAATCTACACACCAACAAGGGAGCAGGTGTCCCTGGAGATAATAAGCAGTCCTAAGGAAAGAAGTCAGTGTCTATGGGTCCCCAAAAGTATTGCTGGTGCTTTCATTAGAAACTGCTACAGGTGTATAAGAGATGAGAGGATATTTCAGAACAGTCACAGAAAATGGAAACAGAAACCTTTAATTTGGGGGCAAAAAAAAATTTGAAATCCTTTCATAGTTTTTTTTTGCCCGTAATAGTATTTTACGTGAAATAGGCTTCGTGTTTTCACCAGTCTTCTGTAGTGAAGCAGTCTTTTAAAAATCTGTCCTTGTAAAGAGATTGTTCACCAATTGATTGTGTATGGTGCAGTTCTTCTGAAGCCATTATTTGGAAACAATTAAGTGTGTTTTTCCACAGGTTTAAATTGGCAGCAAGCCTCAGTGCCCTTTGTTGGTCTCCCCACCGCTTACATATTGGCTGAAAGTAGTAAGGTTATTAGGTATGCCTTGTGTAGGACATGCCAGACCAAAAACGGATTAGTGAGAAAATTTTGGATCATGTGTCTTCTGACGTTATAGATGAATGTTTCAAACCTTTTTAATCTCAGAAAATGTGCCACCTGTTTGCTTAATAGTAGCCAAGAAAACTTCACCTCATTATTGGCAGTGCTAGTGTATAGATCTCTTCAAAAGAGACATAGATGGTGAGCAGAGAAGAAAAGCAGCCATCCAATGAGGCCTTACAAGCTATACCTGTGTTTTATTTTTTTTTTCCAGTTTTTTTCCAGTTTTCTTTTGGGTATTCAGAATATTTGAAATTTTGTGCCTTATAGAGCTCTCTGATACTGCCTAATTAGCATCAGCATTTTCATCATTATAAACATATTTCTAGCTAAATGAGAAAAGAGGTGAGTGAGGGTGTCGCCATACTCCTCCACTGCTTTGATAGAACTTAGTAATGGCCATTTCTGTCCACCATTCTGATATCATTTGATTCTCTTACCTGTGCTTCCCAGCTGTGTATGTTCCTCCAAAACTGTGAGTGTCTCAGAAACGTTTCAAGTACATCCCCTAGCTAGTAACCTAACACATCAACTTTTTGTGGGTACTAAAGCTACCATCTTCCTCCCCTTTTCAGCTTGTGTTTAATCAGCTAAGCTTGGCAGTCCTCCTGCAGCTTCTGCCATCTAAGATGCATCTTAAACAATAGCCGGCCTAGAAACGAGGAGGTACACTGCCAAAGCCAGGCAAAGCCCATCAAAGGATTTGCCATCTTTGCTGGTTGCATATTTAAAGTTGTTGGGTGGCTTAAGTTAACATGGTATTGCCTCTGCCAGTATCTGCTGGAAGCTTTGCTCATCAACCAGGTTCACTCTGGTCAACTCCCAATATTTTTGTCTAATACTCAAGATTGTTTTATGTTGTATTTGAGTATATCTATCTTAATAAAGTATTAGTTAAGAATTTTTAAAAACAGATCATAGAAAACTATCAATATATTATGGTCTTAATAAGCTCACCAATAGATGTATATGAATCTTTGGAATGAGAAGTAAGTCTGCATGGAGTATACTTTGCACTGAACCTTATAAAAAACCGATGCCAATGGAGAGATTAGCAAATTACCACACTTGAAAGAATTCTAATATTTTAAATGATATTTCTGCTTTTGTATGTAATTTGTGAGTTTACTAAGAAAACTGTATTAGTAAATCTTCTCAAGCATTTTTAAAAAGAAGTGTTTTCTTTCATGTTCTAATTGCTATGGACTTTGTCTTCAAGTGGAGTTTCTTAAGTATATATTTTATATCATTTTTTTGTTCAAATATTTGGTCATGTGCTGATTAATTTCCTTATGATTTTCCATAGTTCATCAAAGCTGGATGAAGAATTTGAAAAAAAATTTAACAGCCTCCCTCAATATAGTCCTGTTTCATTTGACCGGAAATGTGTACCTGTCCCAAGAAAAAAGAAGAAGACCGGGACCATGTCTTCAGAATCAGCAAAAACCAGCAAAGGTTGGATTTGTCCTCAGCCTTTTTAATGAGTTTAAGGGAGCAAGGTGGTCTGAATCTCAACCAAGTTCTGCTGAGCTTGTGCAGCTTCCTTTAGATATGTACAGCAATTGGATTTAGGATTGAGAGAGCTGAAGGTAGAATTTTGGATTTGTTTCTCCACTAATCATGATTCCTGTCTCCTTTTTTCCTTTGCAATTTTACTTTGCCTCTGACTACTGGCATCTCAGAATAAGCATTTGTTCTTGAAGGTGCAGCAAAGCTATTTTTGAAGTTATTACATATGACCTTTAACCTCTTCCTCCCACCCCCCGAATTCTGTTTGCAACATTAAGCTTTACTTGAGAAGAAACCACCAGTCAAATTCAATTCTTCTGCTCCTGTGTCTACTACAGATTGGAATCTGGGGCTATTAAATTATTTTGGTCATTTGATAACCAACCTCTGTTCTTTATTGGTGATTGGACTAAATGAAAATAAGCCTATACTGCCCCAGAAACATATATAGCTGGGGGAGAAAGGAGAGGGAGGGGGAAGAGAGAAGAGATACAGATATTGGTTTAAATTTGGAAAAATGCTTTGTTTAGTGTATTTATTTTCGAGGATACCAGCTTCTCCCCTGTCTATTTCAGGCACTTTAAAAATGATCAGCAACATGACTTGAGTAGGTCTCAGCATTCTTCAGAAGTAGCATTGAAATCCAAAAGTAGATTTTTTTCTAATGAGTTTCAGGGTGCATTTTCAAGGGGGCAAGTACTGAGGTGCTGTGCCCTGCCCAGGGTATGTCTAGCAGAGTGCGGAAAACTCCCCACCTTCCTGACATGACAGCATTGCTGTCATTAGGAAACTTGTCTTCTGATGTTACTTTAAAGATTGGTGGGGAAAATGTGCCTTTACTTTTCCTCATCACTGTGAAAGACTTCATTCATGTAGTTCTCCTGTAATGACAGGGGATAGAGAAATGGAGAACTGGTGTGGCCAAGTCGTGCTTGCTGTCAGAATCAGATTGTGAACAGCATTTAATGAAAGAGTTCTTGTAATTATCCTTCAAGTTGGCTGCCTGTTGCTTGCTTTATGTCATATCAGATTAATTTGCTTCATTTGTGTGTCTTAGGTAGGTGATAGATATGAGTATTAATGGGAGAAACAGTTTCATGGATTTGGGGGAAATACTTGAGGCTTGTTTCCCAGAGAAAATTGTGGCTTCCTCTGAAAAAAAAAAAAAAAACTTAAACCTCTCTCCATCAATACCTAAAAACTGCACACTGGAACTGCCACAACATAGGAAGGACCCTGACATCTATACCCCAAGACAGAACTAAAAGGCTGGAGAAAACTTATCCTTGGTGATTGAAGGTGGGGAAGTATATAAAAGTCACTTTAGGATGAGCTGGGCTTTCCTCTGACACTAATAAAAGCAAATCTACTGAATAAGAACTAAAAAAAGAAATGTTGTATCACCACATTTGCTCATCCAAATAGGTGGGCAGAGAAATAAAGGAGTCTTACTGACAGGTAGGTAGCTGAGTGCCGTAATGGATTGCCAGATGAAGTGACAGCCTGTGCCCAGGAGATGTTTAGGAATAGGTGGAGTAGTGTGTAAGCTCCAAGATGCCAGGCATCTTTAGCTCCCATAACTCTTAGATTTAAAGTTGCTGATGAATCCCTGACAAGCCAATAAAATAGAACTTAATTGATTGATGGTCAGGGTGTACTCTTTCTTTCAATTCTTAGAGTTCATGACATCCATTTTAGAGCTCTGAAGCTGCCCGAATTATCTATCAGGCATTAGATGTAAAAACAGATATACTTTTGTAAAGCTATAAAACCCTGAAGTTAGCTTCTATTTTCATGAAACCTTCTCTTGGGTCTTAATTGTCTATTAGATGATTTCCCACTCCCAACTGAGAGTAACAATAATTCTTTTGATGTCAAACAGTTTTTTCAAGCTTGGGCTTATACTTTGTGCAATATCATCTTTCTCATTATACCTCTCAAGCCACAAAGCCAGTGGTTCTTGTGCAATATATAAATAATTATACACATAAGTAAGATGACTTAGATTTTGCTCTGCGGTATAATTCATGGAGCAATTAAAGCAGACATTAACATTTTGTATTTAACAAATGAAAAGAAACAGTATCTGAGACTGATTGTAATTTTGGCATTAGCATTATCAGCATACTAGACAACAAGTTATTAATGAAATTATCATAGCAGCTGTGCTGTAATTGTTGTATCTTTAGAGGATACAGGAAATTGTTTCCTTAGATTCTAAATCCTTTGTATTTTTTGCATAATTAACTGTTCAAAGCAAGCACTGTGTCTGAGATCATCAGTTCATTAGTAAAAGCAGTTGTCCACAAGAAACCTCATTTTTGCCTCCAAATTTGCCAGGTTTCTGTATTTGATTTTGTGCTATATTTCTTATCACTCCACATTCTTGATTGTTTCTTGATTTATGTTTGTGCCTTTCTAGGTACTTTATGTTACGTAAAATCAGTTTTTCTGAAGAATAATTTCTGGAAGTAATTGCTTTGTATACATTTGCACAGTTGTCAGGATCATAGTATCTGCTTGGGTTTCTGCTGTAGTTTTCCCAGTACCTTCCTTTTGCATGAGTGGTCTCTGCTTTCCCACTGTCCTCTGTCTCTACCTTTTTGGTTTTGTTTTGTTCTCCATGTAAAGTTTCTTATCAAAAACTCAACAATGAAAATAACTTTAAATGTCACCTTCCTCCAACTGAGCCTAGGTTATATTATGATAGTAAATAATAGAATTTCTAAGGATAAATTGCCCAGTATATTGGAATCAATCAAATTCACAGTGCAGCTCAAATATAGCAACCCAGTTTTAAAATATTTTCTGGATTCTCTTTCTTGATTATTTGCATATTTTTTAAAATAAAAACTTGAATTTAACCTAAACATGAATTTAATGATAACTTCTTTTTTTAAAGATTTATTTATTTGTATTGCAAAGTCAGATATACGGAGAGGAGGAGAGACAGAGAGGAAATCTTATGTCCGTTGATTCATTCCCCAGGCTGCAACAGCTAGAGTTGAGCCAATCTGAAGCCAGGAGCCTGTTATGGGTTTCCCATGCTGGTGCAGAGTCCCAGCACTTTGGGCCATCCTCAACTGCTTTCCCAGGCCACAGGCAGGGAACTGCATGAATTAGAACCGGTGCCCATATTGGATATTGGCGTATTCAGTGTGAGGACTTTAGCCACAAGGCTACAGAGCCAGACCCTAATGATAACCTCTTAAGGAATTTGTTTGGATGCATTATTTGTAGTGTGAATGTATAAAACATTGATTACAGAAGTATCCATAGTCAGAGTTTCCTACACATTAACAATTTTAAAACATGCAGAGTTATAAGAATAAAAGCAAATTAAGCTCAGTTTAGAGTGTTTAAATTATGCATCGTCTTGACCGTTGACATCATGTCTCCTTTATCCCATTTCTCTTCATGTAATTCTTTGGCCCATTAGCAACCATACCATTGGTCTTTCTCATTTTTTCCCCAATTCACACTTACATGTTAAATTTAAATTAGAAATTTTAAATTTTAAGTTGAAATTTTTAAGAAAATATCAGAAACAGACTTACATAATTAAGCATTGAAGACAGAATCCCCCCTGTAGGGTTGGGCCAAGCTAAGGATACTTTTAACCTTAGAGAACCGAAATCTGATGACAGCCTTTCCTAGGAGGAAGATAGAGTTTCTCGGTTGGACAGAACACTGTATTTTTCCCTGTAGCTGTTGGGACATCTTCATTGCTACCAAGCGTTTTAAGAAACATGGTGACGACACTTTTGCAGATATAAAAAAGTATTCTTAATATAATCTTGTTCCATAATAGAGCATGCTTATTCAGCCCAAGAAGGTGGCTCCTCCTCCTCAATGAATCTTAACTTATTCAAGCCAGCAAATCTACATGCCCAGACACTAGAAGCACTTTGATATAATTATTACAAACAATTTTATTGTTCATTGGTCATTTTGTGTGTGTGTCCATATGTAAATGACAAGCCAGTCTTAGAAGCAGCCCCCTGACTTTTAGAGCTTACAAACATAGTAACTGCTGTAGCACCTAATCAAAAGCTGCCATCCTCAGCATTATGCCCGGTGTGTGTTCCTCACAGCAGTCCTCAAGAGGAGGATTTGTTTAATTCCCTGCTGACCCTGGAAAATCATCATACAGTTTAAATTGAAATGACTCCCTTGCCACTGTAACTTCTGACCCAAAACAGTGGCCATTTGCCAGCAAACTTCAAAACAGCATGAACGTGTGAGAAGGCTTATTATTGGTGTCTGTATGGCAGCCACCCCGCTTACCCTTTCTGCTTGTAGTTTGGCCCTGCTATTCCTACCCAACCCTGAAGCTGAGATGTAGAGAAGATGGGTACCTTTAGATTACAGCCAGCACTGCAGGTGGCAGCTTAACCCTCTTATAGGCAAATCCTGGCTGCTCTACTTCAATCTAACTCCCTTATAATAACCTGGGAAAGCAGCGGAAGGTAGGCTAAATGCCTGGGCTCCTGCACCGATGTGGAAGACTCCAAAGAAACTGTTGGCTTCAATCTACCACAACCTCAGCCATTACAGCCCTTGGGAAGTGAACCAATGGATGAAAGACCTCTGTCTGTCTCTCCCTCTTTCTCTCTCTCTCTCCCCCTCTCTCTCAGAGAGAGAGATTTTGTGTGTGTGTGTGTGTGTGTGTGTGTATGCACTCACGTGAGTCTTCCTCTCTATTCTTTCTCTGCATAACTGCATTTCAATTAAGTAAAATAAATCTGAAAAAAAATATATAGGCCATCTTGCATAGAATCTTATATGGAGGCCTAAAGCAGTTTGCATACCTGTAGCAAGTGCTTCTGTGTTGAGCTTCTGAAGCTCAAGAAATTTAGTGCAGGAAGAGATTGGATGGAAGCTTAAGGTAGTTGTAGAGCGAAGGTCCTTCTAAAAACTCTTTTCTCTGTTTTTCATTTCCCATC